GTTAGGAGGAGATAGAAGGCGATGACGTGCCACGTACCGGCGAGAGGTCTCCGGTGCACTGATAACCACCAGACACGTGTCAAACGCTGCCTAAAGTGACGGTTCCAGCCTTCTAGCGACACGCGCCCGCGGCAATGTCAACCCGACCCGCATCCTCAGCCGACCCGATACCCGTGCGACGAAATGAATCGCAACGACTTGCAATCCACCCAACCACTGCACCCGAATCGAATCGACGACCCAAGACTGCAGAAAAATGCGCGCGTGACGCTCGCACGTGGAATCTACGAGTGAGCTTGTCCCAACGCGTGTAAGCTCATTCTCGTCCTGTTCGACTCCTATTTTCCCTATTTTCCTTTCGATTCCAATTCTAACTCTACTTTTATGTGAAATAGGATCTAATTTGGGAAAATTAGTATTTTTTGGACACGTTATTTGTGTTAAAATGCTAACGTAAGGGCATGTGTCATCCAAGTAAGTCGCCACACGGAACTTTAGGAAGAAATACTTGTAGGTGTCACTTGGTTATGTATGCATGCTAGTTTAATTACCTTAGGTGGTAGCTTTCCACGATTGATTGTCGATAATTTGATTGTTAAGAATATGGATGTATTATGTCAAGTATTATGAGAATTACCTGAGTATTGCAATTCTGTTTTAAGCTTCTGCTATATTTATGTGTATGTTTAATTCATATTGAAAGGAGATGGGAACTTGTGAACTCTCCGCTCCAGAAGCTTGATGGATGCTATTGCCCTGTTGAGCATGTTTGTTTATTTTTGCATGAATTATATATGATGATGCTAGATATAACTGTTAGCACGCTCAGTTAGCTTTCATGAACAATGTAACGATAAGTCTAGGGTTCTGTGGTTAGAGTGATAAGTCACAAAGTATAGACCTAACCCTCTCCCTGGGAACCTAACAAACCACCACGGCATATGAACCACCTTTAGAGTACCCATAGGCTGTTTGTATGTGATTGGTGTCAACTTCGTGGGGGACCAGGGGGTTCTTGATCAGAATCCGACTGCTTTTAGTTGTTTTAGCATGAAAAACGTGTGCCCATGTCGTATAGACCATTTAGCTGGATGGGTTAAGGGGGGTAGCTCTCCCCGACCAGGGGGACTGTCATGGGCCTAGGGAGTTGCAGCTCACTTCCTAGGTAAGATATCAAATAGTCTTAGAGCCATGCCGAGATAGCTACTCGTAGGGCACCAATCATACATAGGTTGGTATAAGGGAACTCTTAGGGTTTGAATGAAAGGACAAAAACCAAAGAAGCCCCAAGGAGCTAGACCAAAACTAGACGTCCTAGAGCCAACGTAAAGCCTGTGAAAATTTGTTAAGATTAAGGCGTGATAAGAACCTAAGTAGGTGGCTTACTGAGTATAATTTTTATACTCATCCTTGTTATATCTTCCTTTTTCAGGTACATGAGGTGTTGGGTCAAGAGAGGGCGCATTGAGGGATGTGGATTGTCACAGAGGAAAGCATGTCTCGGGGCGTCAGTCCGGTCTTACCTATTAGTACATTTTGTCTTTCATGTTTTCTTCCATGGTCTAAAACTAGTCACCCATGGTCTTTTTGTATTGTAACGCTCTTCTTATGAAATAAATTATTGATTTTTGGAATGATGTTTTCCTTGAATTTCTTGCATACACACTACACGTCATAGTCATTGTAAGTCACGACTTGAGGTTAAATTTTGGGTCGTGACAAATAAACTCGATATCCTCTGATGTACAAAATCTTTTTTATGCTTGTTCGATGCCCTGGTAGCCAGACATAACATCAACAGACATAACATCAACAAACGGTTCTCCATTAAAGCAAGGGTCTATATTGACCACAAGGAGAATCTTGGAAGATGATGGTATTCAGACTTCTGCTGGTATGAAACCCCATGTGTTTTTCTTAATACAAATGGTGGCTTCCATGAGATCCACTCTCGATGTGGTTTTTTTTTAGCAATCTCAACAAAACCTCCGCACGCATTTCTTATGTGTTTCAAAGTTTCAATGTCCCAACGATTGAGGGGCAAATTTTTATTTTTATTTTTTTATTTAAATCCAACCTCCATGCGAGGGAAACATGAGGCCATTCAGGTGCTTTTCATTAGACATCGTTCTATTTTCACAACACAGTTTCCAACTTTTTTTTCTGCTTTTTTTTAATGAGACTTGCTTCTTTGACGTGCAACGGAGAATCGCCTTATTTGCTTTGTAGGAGTTTCGTTGGCAAAAGCCATTGAGCATAGATTGGATGTTCCTAGTTATCATAAACCAATCATCATAAAAATGTTTCTGAGTGGCAATCACCATCGTATCCCATACAATATGAATAAGGGAGTGGGGAAACTCATTGTTGATCGTCTTTGCCTTTTTGTTTAGAATCGAAAGGTATTGTTTAGAATCGAAAGGTATGTTTCTACCTCTATCTTTTTATTTTCTAGCATTTACAACGACTTTTTAATTTTAGGCAAGGAGTGTTGGTAGATGAATATGTCTGTGGACTTGTCTCCTAATATGAGATCTTGAGTTTAGTTGATGATATGGTATTTTAATGGACAACAAGAAATAATTTCCAATAACATTGTAAAAAGCTATTCAACATTTTCGTTATTTCCCTATTGAGATAAACAGTTTGTTAAGACCCAAATTTCATGAAACAATGAGATTTCAGCCACAGAATCCTTCTTGTTTGTGAGTTTTTTATCCAAATGGTTTGTGTTGGAAAACATTTCTCCTTGAAGAATTTAGGGTTTAATTGAGCCAATAGCAGTGCTTGATGAGATGTTTTCAGCCATGGAAAAGAGCCCTAGTTCAATGATAGGAAAAAAGATCCTTGTTCCCTGTATCTATCATCTAACTCAATTGTATAGGTCTTCCTATTAATAACAGTTTTGCATCTATGAAGTATTCGGTGTGGTGCCAGAAAGTAATTGATGTGCTGCCATGGGTTAAAGGTTACTGTCAAATGGGTTCACAATTCTTGTTAGTTGATGGGAAAAGTTACTGTCCAAATGAATTCAAAATCCTTGCTAGTTGATGCAAAATCCTTATAGTTGAATGTACAATTAGGCAAAAACAGCAACTCAGTTGCTCTTTGAAAACCGAGGAAATCTTAGGCTTCTTTTCGGTGTCTGTTTGGGGGGGGGGGGGGGG